GCATGGTGGTACAAGCCTGCAACCCCACTACTCTGGAGGCTGAGGTAGGAGGACCGCTGCAAGTTCAAGGCCAGTCAAGGATACATAGTGAGTTCGAGTTCGGTTCCTGGTACCGGAAAAAAACCAAAAACCATTAAAAAAAAAAAAAAAAAAAGAAAGAAAAAAACAACATAAAATCTTAAAAACAACCAAAGAAAAAGGAAACATTACAAATAATGGCTCTCTTGTTATCAAGAAGAAATATTGGCCAGATGACATCTTTAAAGTGGTGACACATGCCTGTAATCCCAGCACTTGGGAGGCAGAGGCAGGAGTACAAAGCCATGAGTTTGAGGCCAGCATGTGCTACATAGCGAGTTTGAGGCCAGCATGTGCTACATAGCGAGTTCAAGGCTAGCCTGAAGTGCATAGCAAGACCCTTCTCAAAAAGTAAAACTAAAATAGTTAATAATAATAAAAAGGGCTGGGGATGTAGCTCAGTATGAAGACCCTGGGTTTAATTCCCAGTACTGCAAGAAAGAAAAGGAAAGAGAGATGGAGGGAGGGAGAGAAGGAGGGAGCGGGGGAGGGAAACAAGGAAGGCAGGCAGGCAGGCAGGCAGGCAGGCAGGAAGACAGAAGACAAAAGAAAAAAGATGAAAGAAAAAAATATGAAAAATTCAGTATCTTTCAAAGAGTGAAGTAACTTCAAGTAAACAAAAGGAAATAATTTGATGAGAGGCATGCACTACAAGAAGTATAAGTAAAAAGAATTTAGATTTAAGACAAGAGAGATTCTTTTTTTCTTTTTTTTTTCTTTTTTTTTTGAGGCAAGGTCTCCCTGTGTAGTTCAGGCTGTCCTGAACTCACTATGTAGCCCATCCTGTCCTCAAACTTGTGGCAACCCTCCTGCCTCAGCCTCCCAAGTGCTGGGATTATGCTTGTGCCACCATATCTAGTGACTCTACTTCTTGAAATCACAAACACTAAGTAAATGGTAAATGTAAGATGATAAGCTGTTTTTTACTTACGCCTTAGATTTCCTTAAAAAGGTAACTGTAACTGTTTAAAGCAAAAGTAATGGCTCTTTCCAAAAGTAATGGAAGCCAGGACTTAAAACAGGCAGACATAAAGAAAAGACAAGTACCAAAACAAAAGAGGCAGATAAACGGTAGACAAAAATCAACCTGCCCAACAGCTGTGTTTCCTGCTTCATCTGATACAGATCTCTCCAGAGACGGATCCTGTTGAGTAGGCCAAATTAGCTAGTATCTCCACCTGCAGTCCTGGGCGTAACAACCTCTGTGAATTCACCAGTATAAATGCCAGTATTTAAGGCTCTGTCTGGATGACTGTAGTTAACCTAAGAGTCAGGAATCTTACTGTCTGAAATTAGAATGCTTCCACACTCAGTATATGAAACGTGTACATACCATTTTTAGAACTTTACAGCTTGATCTTTGTTGATTACATTGTAACATACATATCTTTGTTATGCCTTTATTTCTCTCGTGTATTTTTGGCTTTACTTATCATCTTGCTACCAAATTTTCCATCTAGACTACAACCTCCCTGGTTTTATAGAAAAATGAAATCTGTTTCATGCTGTACCAGAACTGGACTCTAAGAACTTACAGCAACAAAAAATAGTGCATATGCAAATAAAATCTGCTTTGTGTTATGTTAAGTTTTTACACAAATACACCCTGACAGAGCAGCAGCCAAAAGCGCACTAAACGTAAGTCCATGAGCTGAACTGTCACTTTAAAGCACACCATGAGAAGAAAAATGACTGAATGTAAAACATAAACATATAGGTTTTGCAGTTTATCTTCTCCCTATTAGTGTCTAAAATTTGCGATCAGAAAACCAATTCTGTAGGTTCCATTAAAGCTTTAATGTTAACAACAGCCAGCAAGGAAAAACAAAAACAAAAACACCCTGAGTAAACGACATGAGTTAACTACAGCTTAATTCAAATTCTTTCCTTTTTCAGCAACCCTTCATAGTGATTTTATTTTCTAAAAAATAAAACCATTATCTCTCATTATGCACTTCTTTTATAGCCATGACATTATTCTGAGTGAGTAGGGGGTCTGCTTTACTGTCCCTTTGAGTTCAAATATCCCTTTGTGACTGCTTCAGTTCATACTGTGTGTACAAGTGATTTCTGTATCACTGGGGTTCTGTTCAGAAAGTCCTTGCCAACGCTTACATCTTCAAGAGTTTTACCTATTTTATCTTCCAGCAAGTTAAGTGCTTCTGTTTGAACATTTAGTTGTTTGATCTATTCTGATTTTAGTTTAGTACATGGGAAGATATATGGGTCTAGATTCAGTCTTCTGCATGTGGATAAACAATTTTCCCAGTGCCATTAAAGAGGCTACATTTCCTCCAGTGTATGTTTTTGGACCCTTTATCAAAGATCCAATCATTGAACATGTATGGGGTTGTCTCTGCTTCCTCTTTTTCAGTGGTGGCAAACCTATGGCATATATATGTTATTTTTAAGATAAAGATGTTAAAGAATGTGTTGTTTTTTCTAAAGTAAAACCTCATGTTTAATTGCAGCGTTGGAACTTGACAATAGGTAAGTGGATTGTGGGTTACATTTTGGGTACTCATCTCTAAGATTCATCATCATTGTCCTATTCTACTCCACTGATCCAGATGCTTACTTGTGTGCCAGTACTATGTTTTAATCACTGTAGTTTTGTAGTATAACTTCAAATCTGAGATTGTGATGCTTTCTGCTTTGCTTTTGTTACCCAGGATTGCTTTTGCTATTCTAGGTCTCTTTTGGTTCCATGTGAATTTTAGGATAGTTTTCTCTAGATCAGTGAGAAATACCTTTAGTATTTGGATTGGGATTGTGTTAAATCTACTGATCAATTTTGGAAGTACAGCCATTTTGATTACACTGGTTCTGACTATCCAGAAACAGAGGGTATCTTTCTATTTTCTTAGGTCCACTTTTATCTCTTTTTTCAGAGTGGTATAGAATTTTCATTGTAGAGGTCTTCTTTCACTTCCTTAGTTATTTCCTAAGTACTTAATTTTTCTTGATGCTAGTGTGAATCATATTGTTTTCTTAATTTCTTTCTTGGTGACTTTATTAATGTATACTAACACTACTGATTTTTGTGCATTTTATATCATTCTGTTTGTCAGTGTCTTGTTGAAGATTTTTATATCCTGCTACATTGCTGAATTTGGTTATTAATTCCAGGACTCTCTTGGCGGCATTTTTTGGATTTTGTTAGAGGATTGTATCATCTGCTACTGATACTCTGACTTTGTCCTTTCCTGTACGTAACTCTTTTTTCTTTCTCTTGCCTGACTACTCTAGCTAATATTCCAAGGACAATGTTGAACAGGAGTGGTGATGGTGGCCACCCTTGTCTTCTTCCTGATTTTGGAGGGAAAGTATTCAGGTTTTTCCTATTTAATATAATGTTGGTAGTAGCCCAGTCATAATTGAGATAAGGTCCATCTATATCTATTTTCTTCAGGGTTTTTATCATGAATAAATGTTGGACTTTGTCAACAGCTTTTTTTAGTCTACTGAGATGAGTTTTTTCCTTGTTTCTGTATATGTGGTGAATGTGTTTACTGATTTGAATATGTTGACCCATCCTTACATATCTGGAATGAAGCCTAGCTGGTTATGGTGTCTGACCTTTTTGATGATCTGTTGCATTCTGTTTGCCAATATCTTTTTGAAGATTTTTACATCT